TTGTTATGTGTAGTTGAAGATACAATTTATCGAAGGAAACTTGATCCTTACTCTTGTCTTCAAATAAACACCAATGTTCTGTCATCCTTGGCAAAAGAATATATTCAGTCAAGTCAAGCGGACTGGATAGCAATACTCAAGTATGTTACCTCAATGCTGTTGTGTGGATATGAAGATACAATGTGAAGATACAATGTGTCAAGGAAAACTTGATCCTCGCTATTGTTTTAAAATGGACACCAATGTTCTATCATCCTTGGACTGGATAGAAGAATGCATTTAGTCAAATTTAGTGGACTATATAGCAAATTACTTCGTGTTTGAAGAAACGATGAAAATTTAACCTTCCCTATCTGTTTAAAATGGACACATTATGTTTTACCATTATTGGACATAAGAGAAGAACACATAAATTCAAGTGGAACAGCAAGAACAGTAAGAATCAAGTGTGTACATATTCATGCCAACTTATAATTACCGCTGCAACGTTCCGGTATGCTTTTATATATCAACGATTGAGTGTTTTTATTTATGCAAAGTCTGTCTGCCATGAATATAAAATCAATGCGTGTATGGAAAGGCTCATGTTATAACAGTGATGCAGTGATCATAATACTCCTTATGTCAATAGGAACAATAAGCCTGTACATGACCACCAATACGCACAAATGTGTAATTACATTCTGTCGTTATTAGTTTAATTTTATTATATTATTTATGATAAGCCGAGATTTAGATTCCATTGAATATATAAAAGATAGAATTCAAACAACTGTAGCCTACAAAATTGAATATTTATTAAATTTAGAAAAAATATTTCTCTCTTTTTCTCTTTTTCTCTCAATAGATGTGGCATTCGACAAGATAGATTAATCGATAAATCATAATTATATTTGTACATGTATTAATAAATGGCACATTTATTGGAGACTCATAAAAACAATAACACACGTTTTTTATACGTCAAATGCATAAAATAACAATAAATACATAAATAACGATAAATACATAAATAAATATATACTTACTTATGTCACGCATATATATATACAGGGTGTCCCGAAGTCCCATAATGATCCTTGGTGAGAACGTAGAACGGATTGGGTGAGCAAGAAAGTCCTGTGCCGTTTTGCGATATTCGCAATAGTTTTTGAGAAATTAATTATTTTGTCTCAACAAATCAGCGTACAGAAAGCGGCAGCGGAAAGAAAGATGCCTTCGGCCGACGTGCGACCG